AAAAAAAAAAAAAAAAAAGGGAAGCTTTTTATCACTATTATAAATGGAAAAGCATTATTTTTGTAACATGTGTGAAAATAAACACCTTTCTAGAATATAACCTCCATGCTTAGAATCAGAGAGTTTTGTTCTGTTCCATGCCCAATGCCTAGAAAAATGAGTTACTTAGTAGGCACTCAGTGAATATTTTTTATTATATCAGTACAAAGATATTCATCTACATACTACCTAAATAATCTTGAATATCATACTCGGGAAACACTGGGGCAGTGGAAGGTACTAGGAGATAACTTGGTGGATTTGGGGATTTGAGGCTTGTGAACATGACCTGCCATGTGATGTCAGACCATGAGGCATTTCTCAGTGGGAGTAGCTGCTGCCCACTCCCCACCTCCCCATTTCCCCAGCTCACCTTAGCCAGCAACTCCAGATGTGACACGTGTAGATATACCTGAAGCCCTGTCCAGCGTATAACTGTTTTCAGCCTGAACTGTCTTTTGGTTCCAGGATAGGCAAAAAGTCTTCATCTGCCACTTCACATCCACTAGAATGGCTCTCATTAAAAACAAGGAAAACAAAATAACAACAAAAAAACAAAAAAAAAAAGGAAAAAGAAAATAAATCTTGACAAGGACGTAGAGAAACTAGAACCCTTGTGTACTGTTGGCAGGAATGCAAAATGGTACAGTAGCTATGGAAAACGGTACAGTGGTCCCTCCAAAAAATTATAGAATTACCCCGTGATCCAGCAATTCTCCTCCTAGGTTTATATTCAAAAGAACTGAAAGGAAGGACTTAAACAGATATTGTATAGCAATGCTCATACTGGCTCTATTCACAATAGCCAAAAGGTGGAAGCAACCCAAATGTCCATCAACTGATGAATGGATAAATAAAATGTGGTATATTAGATGTACAATGGAATATTATTCAGCCTTCTAAAGGGACAAATGCCACAACATAGATGAACCTTGAAAACCTTATGCTAAGCAAAACAAGCCCAAAACAAAAGCATAAGTATTGTATGATTCCACTTACATGAGGTACCTGGAATAGGCAAATTCATAGAGACAGAAAGTAGACCTGAGGTTACCAGGGATGGGGGGAGGGGAGTGTGGCGCTATTGTTTAATGAGCACAGAGTTTCTGTTTGCGATGATGAGACAGTTCAGGAAATGGATAGTGACGGTGGTTGCACAACTTTGTGAAAGTAATTAATGCCACTGAATTTTACACTTAAAAGTGGTTAAAATGGTGAAATTTATGATACATATATTTTGCCACCAAAAAAGAAAAAAAGCTTTCACCTGATAAATTGGAAAAGCCTTTCTTGGAAAAGTCACTTGTGTTGAGAAGGTTCTGGGTCCAGCAGATTGACTATCAATGTCTACAGGGTAGGGGGAGTGGTGGCATTCCTGTCGCACATCTGTGTTCCCTGCGGGCTAACTTCTATAAATCGACTCTCAAATGGGGAAAGTAGCTCTTGCATCATTGTTGTAACTTGGAAGGGTTCTTTTGACCATTCGGACTCCTGAACTCCACAGGTGAGAGGATGAGCCCAAACACTGACACCAAAGGGAGCCGCTCAGACCCTGAGCGTAGCGGCAGTAACTGATGCCTGGGGGCTGGTGCTGAACTGGAGACCTTGGCCCAGCTCCGGAGGGCAGCACCCCTCAGCAATAGCCCCTGATGTCAGGCAGGAATGTGGCGCATTGTTGCCATGGATTGTTTCCCGAGAGAAGCTATAAATCCTTTTTTTTTAAATGTACTCTATCAGGTTTTAAGCATTGACCGCTAATTTTAAAATTTCCTAAAACACAGTGAAGGCCAAACAAGATACACCTATGGCCTGTATTTGGCCCATGGGCTGCCAGTTTTTATCTCTGTCATACATAAAAAAAACTTCTTATTCCCCCTTTGACATTTTCAGCGTGCACAAGAAGGCTTGGGAAGTTCATTTCCAGAAGTTCATTCCAAAAGCAGGCTCTGGGAATTCCCTGGTGGTCAAGTGGTTAGGGCTCCATGCTTCCACTGCAGAGGGGGCAGGTTCCGTCCCGGGTCGGGGCACTAGGATCTTGCACGCTGCACCGTGTGGCCCCCCCAAAAATAAAAACAAAAGCTCTGGCTCCTGGATCAGCTACCCTTGTTGCTGCTTATAAAACATGATGTACTTTCCCTAGTCTCTGTGCTGGAACCACGAATGTGATCTAAATCCTCCCATTCTTTAAAACAATAGAATAAAAAAGAATGAAATTTTGCCATTTGCAAAACATAGATGGACCTGGAGGGTATTATGCTTAGTGAAATATGTCAGACAGAGAAGGACAAATACTGTGTGTTAACACTTATGTGTGGAATCTAAAAAATAAAACAAATGAATGAATATAACAAAACAGAAATAGACTCACAGATACTGAGAACAAACTAGTGGTTAACAGAGGAGGGGGTGTGGGCAAAATAGAGGAAAGGAATTAAGAGGTACAAACCACTAGGTATAAAATAAATATGTTACAAAGATGTAACATACAGGACAGGGAATATAGCCAATATTTGATAATAACTTTAACTGAAGTATAATCTATAAAAATAAAGCATTATATTGTACACCTGAGACTAATACAATATTGTAAATCAACTATATTTCAATTAAAAGAAAAAAACCTCCTCTGTGAAGGCCTCTGGCCCACAGGGCTCTCCTACTTCTAAGCCCGCATTGCCCATCCTCCCCTCTAGGTGGCAGCACTCCTACCGTTGTGTTGACCAGCCATTGCTCTCTGGCATTGTCGTCTTGTTCATTTTCCTCTCTTGTTTTCCAGGTCTCTCCTGGAGAGAGACTGTTATGATGAAGGGGAGATCTGGATTTTGGACATCGAGGCCTGACTTCCCTTGATCCATGATTCCTCCCTCCACCTCCCCAGGAGGCCTGGGCTCCTTGCTGACTCCCTGGCCTCAAGGATGACATTTCTTTGGTGACAGACGTGCTGAGCGGTGCTGGGGGGTAGACCTCGAGGCCCCTTGAACTTGGAGAGTGGACCAAGCACGGAGGAGGGCCTGAGGCCTTGGGTTCTATGGGAGCGGCTGCTATGGGAGCGGCTGTGCCCTAAGAAGCTACAGCTCCCAGCCTCCAATGGCCATAGCCCTTCCAAGAGGAACGACCTCTACCCACACCCACCTCACCTTACACACACACACACACACACACACACACACACACCCCGTCACATGGCTGATTGGACCCATAATGCACACCTGGCCCAAAGGCAGCGCACCTATTAGCTGGAGAGCAGCCAGTGACCAGTTGGCCTACATGAAACTGGCAAGCTGACCCTATCAGATTCTGTCTTGAGAAATAGAAGATTTCAATAGGAGATTGAAGGACTGTTGGGCTGTAGAAAGAGAGAAGCAAGGTGGGCATGGGAGCCCTGGGAGTCAGCTCTGGCTGTCCCTTCCAAGGGGCGGTTCAGGGGATGCCCAGCTGTGCTCTGTTGTCGACCCTTGGGCTCCTTGAGATCTTTGTTCTTCCTGCTCTTTATGCCTAACGTGGTGTCTGGAGGAGCTTTGATTCAAACATCCTTCTCCACCGATTTGCTCACCTGGTCCCGGGTGCTGCTTGGCCATTGGGTTTGGGGCCCAGCACCCATGAGACAGACGTGCTCATCCTCAATCCTTAGGGCGCGGCTGCGCTTGCCTGCCACGTGTTGCTATGAGTCCATCTCCCAGATGCTGCCTGAGCCCAGCCACAGAGCATTCTGCTGAATAATCCGGAAGAGGAAGGTGGGTGATGATAATCAACCTCACTGTCATGGACCAGCACGCTGAGCCGTGAAGCCCTGATGGGCAGTGGAACAGCTGACCAGGAGAGCAGGCATTCCCCATGTCCCCGCCATCCCTCAGAAGCCAGCTTTGGCAGGGGACCTTGCCTCCATCCTCCTGGCACTACTGCTCCCATTTCCTTCCCTCCCACGGCTTCCTCAGTGCTCTCCTCTGGCCCTGCTCCCCCGTGTATGGGCTCATGGTCACCAGCTGAGCAGAAGAATCCCCTCCCCAGCTTCTAATGGCACCTCCAGATTTATCAGGATTTAAAGAGATGCTTTACAGGAAGAGAAAAGAATGTAAAAGAAACCAAACATGTAACTCTCTGAAGTAGCTCGTATTCATGGGCCCAATTCCTCACCCTCCCTGCATTCATGCCCTTTGCAATACATCCCATTGTGACAAAGCATAACGCCCCATCTCTGGAGGCTTAGCCATGTGACCGGCTTCGGCCACTGGATATTAACAGACATGGAAAGAGTCTTGAAAAGCACATGCACGCTGGGGTTTGCTTGCTCTCTTGTCTCTGCTGTCATCGTGAGAAGGAGAGGGCCAGGTTCGCCCGCAGGTCCCTGGAGTAGGAGGATGGACCCGAGGAGCAGAGCCCCGCCTGGCTCAGCCAGACCCCAGGCTGTGTGCAGATCTGCGCTGCTTTGAGCCACTGAGTTTTGGAATAGTTTGAATTTGGGGCAATACTAGCTGATATACACCCCACCCCCAGGTTCCAGCACCAGGAAGGGAAGGAGGCTCCTTCCCTGTGCCCAGGGCAGGGCATCAAGCTTCTCTATGGGGTCTTGGATCTCACCATCTCCTCTCCTTTGAGGGGGCTGGAAGGAAAGGGCAAGGATCATTGTGAGGCCTCCCAGCTCTCCAGCAGGCTGAGGACACAGAAGCAGCTGGAACAGATGGCCTTTCGGGTCTCTTCAAGGCATGGAGTCGATGCCTTCCTAGAGAAGGCATGACGTCCAAATGGGTCTGCAGCCTGGGAGTTCCAAAGGCTGCCTCCGTTCCCTTGGGTGCCCTGAGATGAAGAGGGCAAGAGAGATCGTCTCCCTGAGAGAGACTCAGAGATGGTGGTTTAGGAAATTGTGCTTCCTTCTGAGTGAAAGCAGTGAGAATACATCCCATATGTGGCCTTGTGCCAGGACACCAAGGGACACAGCTCCAGGTGACAGGGGAGGAGCAGGCTTTGACCTGAGCTGAGAGTCAGGACTCAGTCCCCCTCCTCCAAAAGCTCCAGGAGGGACCCACAACCCCCTCTAGAATCTCTGATCTTCTGATTAAACCTGTTTTGCCCCTCAAGGTAAACCTGAAACTCTTTATTCTTTCATTTTCTTACATTTTTGTTTAAGAATAGTTTAAAATATTTGAGTGAAAAACAAAAGACTCCACCATCTTGTTTTCTCCTATTTTTATTGGAAATATACAGAATTTCAGCTACATTGTGGGCAAAGTGGGCTTTGATGAGCTTTCCTGAGAACAAGCCACCAATTACAACACTGCTTTTGTGGCAAATGCATTGTGAATTCTAAGTAACAGTCCCACAAATGGCCTATTAGAGCATAACCCATTACCAGGTGGGGCATGATCATGTTTCCCAAACTATTTATTTCTAGAAGCAATCTGCATTTCAGTAAGACATAAAGAATCCCAAACTTTCCTAAGGCATCTTTCATTATAATATGAAGCATAATTTATCTAACCTGAAAAAAAGAAACAAAACAGAAAAGAAGTCGACCACTTTTTCCTAAGCATTTCTTTCCCACGGTTCGATGTAATCCAATCCCAGATGTGCAAAGATTTCTTCTTCACTTTCTGCTTTGAGAAACATCCTCTGAAAGCATAACAAGACATGTGTGCATTCAGATATTTTTGTTAAGCATCTCAGTGCTGATGAAACAGTGAAAATATTACTTGTAAAATTGTTTTGTCAAAACAAATTACTGCCAAAACACATTACCCTGCTTCTGAGGACAGAAATTCATCTTACCTGACTTCCGTACTTTTTGTATTTTCCCACCCCCCAAAACTTAATAAATTAAGGTAAAAGGATGACAGTCTTACATATTCAACTAGAGGCATTTGGTATTCTTCCTACGCATCTGTAGTTCTTAACCACAGTTGCTCATTAGAACTACCTGAAGGAGTTTTTTTTTAAAAAATGTTGAAAACTGAGCTATACTCCAGTCCAATGAAGTCAGAAGCTCAGCAGAGGTCTTGTCCTCCATCTGTTTAAGGGGGCTGGGAAATTCTCCTGTGCAGTCAGTATTACGTACTGCTGCCATTGGTAAGAAGGAACGGTGATTATAGGATACTTGTGTATGCTGGGGCCTCCTCCTGGCCTTCCACCCCTGCCCCGCTCCCGCCAGGCTCCCACCGCATGGTCTCTGTTAGAGCAAGCGCCACTTCTCCTCCAGCCCTTCTTGTTATAGCACAGCGTTGGGCCTGTAGGAGGCACTCGCTTATGTTGAACTATTTGTTACGTGTCAATTTGTAAGTCTTCCTACATCGTGTTATGTGAAGCTGTCTCCACTCACATGCTAGACCACTGAGGCTTTCCTGCCAGCATCCACAGCCCTCTCTTATGACAGCAGCACCTTGATCTTTCTTTGGGAAACCACCCCTCCCTACTCTCAATCTCTGAGGGTCTGGTGGGGCTAATCCCACCTCCAAGGAGGGGCACATGACCCAAGCCTGGCCAATAAGAGCCATGGAAAAGGGTTCAGGGATTGGCACATGGCCCAGGTCTGGCCAGTGAACATCAGCTAGGGCTCTTGCTGGAAGCTCTTTTCTGAAGGGGTAGCTAAGCTAGAAGCTTGGAATTCATAGGAATACCCTGCCTGAGAGTGAAACCAACACTGAGGGAAATTTGCATGATCGCCTTGATACAGCCACACCTGAAGTCCATGTTATCCCAGATGCTACAGTATATAAGCCAAATTCTTTTCTTTTTTTTGCCATTTCCATTTTCTATTGGGTTTCTGACACTTGTGAGACAGCTCTAACTAAATACACCTCATTTAGACTGTAAGCTCCTAAAGGGTAAAAGCCATTACTTCTAGTTATTTTGTGTCTTCTTCCTCCTCAGAGCTCTGTTTAGTGTCTTTGATCACCGTAGGAAGAGTAGATCTTGGCACTTGCGGACTTAGTTGAATATTTAACTCTTCCTAATTCATACAGTAATCTATCATTTTGCTGAGGCAGCATTTGGACTACTGCAAGGCTAGCATACCAAGTGAGTCTCAGCTGGTGTGTGAGTCTAGCTGACTGCTCATCTACATCTCAGGGCAGCTCTGTTGCTCTCCTTCTTGCAGTGGACTCTCATTAATGACCTATATGATCACTCAAAATGCTAATTCTCACTGCATCTGAGGGGTACTTGAGTGATATTTGTGATTTGGGGGGATCCTTAGTTTTCTTTGGAGTTACTCATTGCAGTTACCAAGGATATACCAAACTCAATTAATATTCACTGTTGGACTGGTTCTAGGGGCCCAACTAGCCCATCATCTTTGAGTCCAAAGCCTCTGAGATGCATTCTGGGCCAGGTGGGGGCTATGCTCCCATCAGGATCTTTCCAGCTGCCCTCAACTGCGATCTGTGCGGACAGGGCACTCGGGGCAAAGGAAACTGAACCTGGACACTAAAATTAGTTCTGGAAAAGCATTCAGGGAGCCAGCCTTGGTGATGAGGATCAAAGAGGCCCATCTCAGGGAGACAGCTCCACCTTGGTCTTGTCATATAGAGCGTGGTTATCCAGCATCATCTTCCGGTCGTGTGTAGCATAGCGCCGGAGGTCTCTCTCAAACTGCTGGGTAAGAAATAATTAAAATAAATTACTATCAGGACTTCCCTGGTGGAGCAGTGGTTAAGACTCTGCGCTCCCAATGCAGGGGGCCCAACTTCGATCCCTGGTCAGGGAACTAGATCCCACATGCATGCCACATCTAAGGAGCCCACGTGCTGCAACTAGGGAGCCCACCTGCCTCAACTAAGAACAAATGCAACCAAATACATAAATTTTTTAAAATAAATAAATAAATAAATAAATTACTATCAAGTCTAGAATGTCTTCAGTATTATGTGTTTAGAGATATTTAAATCACAATACAGGAAGTCCCCTATATACAAACAAGTTCCGTTCCGAGAGCACATTCGTAAGGCCAATTTGTTCGGTAAGGCCAGCAAAGTTAGCCTAGGTACGCAACTAAAACTGTCGGCTATATAGTACTGTACTGTAATAGGTTTATAATACTTTTCACACAAATAATACAAAAAAAAAACACGAAAAATAAAACATTTTTAATCTTACAGTCCAGTACCTTGAAAAGTACGGTAGTACAGTACAACAGCTGGCATACAGGGGCTGGCATCGAGTGAACAGGCAAGAAGAGTTACTGACTGGAGGAGGGAGAGGAGGTGGGAGATGGTAGAGCTGAAGGATCGTCAGCAATAGGAGACAGAGGGCAAGCTGCGATTTCACTCATGCCAGACGTGGATGGCACAGGTTCTGGTTCCTTGCTGGAACCAGATGCACGTTTGCATCTTTGAAAGTTCACAGTTTGAAGGTTAGTATGTAGAGGACTTACTGTAATGAAATGTCTATCTCCACTAAACATTCTCCAAGCAATTTTCTCCCCCAGGGCAATAGTCTACGATGACAAAGCTCCATGCTCACATGCATACACTAGACTATAAGCTCTGTGAAAAAAGGAACCTGATTTGTTCTGTTCATAACCATATTTCCTCCTCAAATGACGCCTGGCACATAGATGTACAGCAAATATTTGCTGAATGAATAAATGAGGATTGTGAGGATCGTGTCCAAAATAATACCTGGTCCAGAGTAAATGCTGGATAAATAATACTTGGTGTTGTTTTTTATTTGGAATATCACTCATATAAAAGAGGATGAGGAGTTAGGAGACCCAGATTCCAGCCTGGATTTTGTTCTTGTCTGGCTGTGCATCTCTCTGCAAGTCACCCAGCCTCTCTGAATCTCGGTTCAGAGGGTGGAGAAGTGCATGAGTAAAGTCCCCTCTGGCTGTAACATCCTCTCATACGAGATTCTTTAAAACTGATGGTCTGAGCCACCTGCCCCAGAGTAGCATCTCCTATGATCAGGGTGAGCTCGGAGGCTCCAGGGAGCAAAACCTGCAGCCTTAGATAGAGGACAGGGAAACCCTGGAAAAGGAAGACAATGAATGAAGTTGTCGTTGAGGTTAATTTTCCTAAGAAGCACAGATCTAGAAATGTCCTTTCCATGTGGGATTAGGGAGCAAGGAGGGAATCATTGCGCCCTCTAGTGGCGAGTATGGGAAAGCTGGCAGAGACTGGGAACTGCCCTTCCTCACCTGGCTGTGTGAAGACAGACTTTCCAGCCAGAAGTTCTTTATAAGGGAGTGGAAGAGAAACTATGGCTGTGGAAGAATCAGGGTGAAGCAGATTCTGGGTGCAGTAGCTGCTGGCGTGTGAAGGTACAGGAGTGTTGCTTAGCACACGGACTCCTACAGCCCTGGGCCACTTGCCTCCAGTCCCCCCAGCACTTAGAGCAACGGCTCCTCACGCTGGGCATGGGGGGAGGCTGGAGAGGATGGGGTAACAGGTGCAGTGAGAAGCCCCCCTTGGCTCCCCAGTTCTGTGTGGTGCGAGATCTATGCCTGGACTCCTCTGCTAAATCCTCAGGAGCATTTTTCCATATTGTGTTAGGAATTATAATGATGTCTTCCATTTGGAGGGTAATTATATTGACTCAACCAGTATTTATTGAGCACCTACTATGTGACAGGTGTGTTCTGGATGCTTGGACTATAACAGACAACAAAACAATGATGTCTGCCTTGGTGAGGCTTGGATTCAACAGGGGACACAAATAAGACACAGTAACAGCATAAGTAAATTACATGATATGTTAAAAGGTCATGCTGCATACAGCGCAGGCCTCATAAAGGAGGTAGGATCTGAGCAAGGACTTGCCCAAGGTGAAGGAGCTAGCCAAGTGGACTCTGGGAAGAGCACACCGTGCAGAGGGAACAGCTAGAACAGAGGCCTTAGGGAGGGGCCAGCCTGCCTGGTTAGGGAGAGAGCAGTGGGGAGGAGTTCAGAGAGATGAGGGTGTGGGCAGGGTCTCGTGGCCACTGGAAGGCCTTTACTCTGCGTTGAATGCAGAGCCCCTGCCAGGTTTTGAGCAGGAGAGTGACTGGATCTGACTTATGTTATGACAGCATCACTTGGCTGTAGGGGGCAAGAGACCAGTCAGAACAGCTGTGGTCATAATCCGGGCAATGATATCCTAGTTAATGTTTGTGGAGGGCTTACCCTGTGCTGGGTGCTGGGCTGATTTCTTGCTTTATATTAATTTCTGATCTACTCTATTATCACTAGTATTTAACAGCTTCTAAAAGAGTCTAACAATACTTTTAAAAGAACAGTATTAAGTATACAATTAGCCTCAGAATTGTGTTAAGATGAAGGCGCTGTCTAATTTAATCCTCATTACAATCCCGTGAGGTTGGTACTGTTATTAGTCCCATTTTTCAGATGAAGAAAGGAGGCCCAGAGAACCTAAGTAATTTACCCAAGGCCACACAGCCAATGATAGAGCTAGGACTCAGACTCCTGAATCCCGAAGCTCAGGTTCTTTACCCTGGACAGTTCTGCCTTCTGCTTTACAAGCTCTTTAGTTTCTCTCAACAACCCTGTGAGATAGGCAGGGCAAGCATGGTGTTTTTTGTTTCAGATAAAGAAAGCTGAACATGGAGCAGGGGCAGTGATACTACAGTCTGGCTGTGTCACTGGTCACAACACACTTCAGAGGTTGGCCCGTGCATGCCACATACGGTTGTGCAAGTTGTGCACTGCAAAACTCTAGAGGGCGCCATTCACTGTGTAGTCTTTGTAAATATGCATGTTTCTTATGACAATTTTCTGGGAAATGGCAGTAAGGTATTTTAAGGAAGAGATGCTTTTTAAAGTTGGCGAAAGGGAGCCATTTGGGCTAGTAAAGAGGCTGGGGTAGCCTAGGCATCTAGCCACCATTGTCCATGTGTTTCCGGAGGAGAGAGTGTACTTCCTCTAGCCTCTGACACAAACGTGGACAATACTCTTGAAGGAATCTCAGCCAATAGTCATGCTGACAAACGGCAGATCTAGTTTGAAGAAATATGATTCAGAGGAAAACAAAAGCTTCTGTTTGTTTTTTTAAACTAATGAAGTCCATACCCAGTCCAGAAATTGCACTGTACTTGGATGGTTCTAGAAAAACCTCAGCTTAATGTGTCCCAGTGGATGCATCCTATTCAAGAAATCTTTAGGGCACAAGATCCAAAGGAAACTTTGTCAGCTTAGTAGACGAGACAACCTGGTAAGTTAATGACCCCAAACTGGGGTGAGATTAATAGGTGAAGTGGCTTAAGAACATTTCCCAGGTGCTGAAATCTTTGGGTTAAAAGGTGAAATTAAATTTCTCACCTACAAAATTTTAGACCAGACCTAAACCTGGTCACCCACCAACATGTATCCACCTGGGGACAAAACACATCACGTTCAGCGGTCACATAAGCGGGGGCGTAAAGATGGTGACACAAGTAGCTACTGTTTGCTGAGCTCTTACCACGTTTAAACACATGCATCTCATTTAACCGGATGGCAAACTTGGGAGGTGGGCACCACTATTATCCACAATATAGATGGGGCAACTAGGACTTGAAGAGGTTATAATTTGTTTAAAGTCACCCAGCTAAAAAGTGGGAGAGCTTAGTGCTCTGTTAGTGCCCCGCAGAGCCAATAACAGTAATTTCTGAGAAAAGAGAATAAAATGTGCTGAAGAGATGCCCATGTTCAAAACAAAGTGAACAAAGAACAACCATCTCTGCCAACGAATCCTGACTGGCATGACCTTGTATAACGCTGGACTTCTTTTTGGAACTCTCCCCTTTCCCAACAGACTCTGTTCCCAAAGATGTATGTCTATCAAACAAAATGCATTTATGATGTATTGTTTCATCAGCTTTCCTAATTTTAATGAATGAAAGATGCCAGCCAACGTTTTTGATTAGGGTAAGAAGCTGTGGTGCTGAGATCCTGTGCTGAAATGATTCCGGCCGAAAGCAAACACACCTGACATTTAACTCAAGGTTGAGGACAATTAAATTCTACGTCATTTATCATATAAAATCCTTTAACGACTCATGTCACTCAAAGCAACAGCCAACTACGTGGGAAAACAGTGTGGGGTGTTAGATGGGAGGGTGGAGCACAAGCTAATGGGACAAATCTCGGGCGCCATGTCTATGAATATCACATGATGGGAGCTGGGAGCTGCCACTCCGCCAGCCCTGGCCCCGTGCCTGGCGTGGTGCTGGGGGCTTTGCCAGCTTCATCTCACTGGATCTCTGCAACCCAGGGAGGTAGAGGCATTTTTGCCCTGACTTTCCTGACGGGAAAACTAAGTCTTAGAGGACATGGGGAACTTGACGGAGATCACCTAGCTCGTAAGAGTCAGAGCAGGGGCTTGTGACCAGGTCTGGGATGAGCCACACTGTGCCCTTAGCCACCAGACTGCTTTCTCTGCTTCCATGGTTCTCATACTTTAGCTGCGTCACCTGCAGGGTTCTTTCAAACACAAATTGCTGGGCTCTTCCCCCAGAGTTTCTGATTCAGAAGGTCTGAGGTGGGGTGGAGAATTTACATGTCTAACCTGTTCCCAGGTAAGACTGATGCTGCTGGTCAGGGGATCTCTTTTTTTTTTTTTTTCTTTTTGTATGTGTGTTTTCAAAGCCTATGCAAGCCTTAACTTCTAGGTGGTATTGCTTCCTCTATATGCAGTCACCTAAGTCCTACTAATTTTTACCACCTAAATAAGACTTGAGAGTCTTTCTTCATCTGCCCTTCCCGGCCATTACTTTAATTTAGATCTTTCTCATCCTTATCTAGACTATTGTGTTAATCTCCTGGTCTAACTCAGTAGATGGTTCAGATCATTTAATAGTTTCCCTGTTACCTATAGGCTAAACTGTAAGATCCTCAACGTTTATAATCCATCCCCACATTCTATTACCTGCCCACTTCCATCTTGTATTACATTATAAATCCCTTGAGTGTAGGGACCAGTATCTTTGTATTCCTTATATTGTGAACATAATAACTGCTCAGCCAATAGTTGTTGACTTAATGAAGTAGGCAGGCTCTTGGCTTGGCAGTTAAGTATACTTCTCTAAAATTAAAATGAATTACTCTGTGTAGTAGGAATAAGAAGATTCTTTTATTTTCATATATTAATATTTCACACATTATTATTTTATGGTAGTAATGTCATACATTCCTCCGGTAATATTAATTTGAATTAATACGATTTTAAGCTATTACATGCAGTTGTTCTGAGTTCCTGTAGAATTGTCTTTTTTTTTTTTTTTTTTTTTTCCCCAGAAGGGAATTAATAGAATTGAGACATAACAAGAGCAGAAATACTTGGTTTTGGACATCCGTTGTGGTACAAAATAAAAAATTAGCAGTCATTGACTCCTTGTTAGAAATTTGACTCCTAGTCAAAGATTTTTAAACTTTACCTTGTGTAAATAAGTCTGTAATCATAATCATTTAGGATGCTCAGAATATACCAATGATCCATGAGCCACTCTAAGGGAATCGTGTAACTGGTATAAATCCGTACTTGGTTTTGTTTTAATTTGCAACTTTTCTTCTTAAAGTCTTTTTTAATCTAAAGTTTTGATGGGTACATTGAAACACGGTAAAAATTATTGACAGTTGTGACATTCTTTTTAACAAAAATGTTTACATCCTAAAAACAAGTTTCTTAGACTTATTAGAAGGGTAAGATTTCATGACAGATGAAATATTTAAGATATGCTTCATTTAATATATCAGTAAGTTTCACTAACTACATATTTTGTGCTCATTCATTTATTCTTTTTTTAAATTGAGGTATAGTTCACATACAGTAAAATTTACTGTTTTGTAGTGTACAATTCAGTGGCTTTTAGTATATTTATGAAGTTGTCCAACTATCACCAATCTGTAATTACAGAACGTTTTTATCACCCCAAAAGAAATCCATGCTTGTTAGCAGTCACTTCCTTTTCTTCTCCACCTAACCCCTGGCAACCACTAATTTACTTTCTGTCTCTATGGATTTACCAATTCTGGAGATTTCATATGGATTTATACAATATGTGGCCTTTTGTGTCTTGGCTTCTTTCTTTTTTGTGTGTGTCATTTTTTTTAAAATGTTTATTTATTTATTTTCTTATTAGTCATCCATTTTATACACATCAGTGTATACATGTCAATCCCAATCTCCCAATTCAGAGGGGATCTCATTTTGAGAATAACTGTTCTAAATGCATCTGTCTCACGTGACCATGTGCAGGTGGAATGCCCTGATTTAGAGATTTCTGTCCACTTCCCTCTCTCCTGTCCACCCCCTCCCCCTTCCTTGTCCGTCTCCCCCCCATCCCCACCCCCACTGCCATTGTCTCTCCCCTGGGCCCAGGTAGACCCAGTCTACCTCTTCTGGAAAGCTAAGACCATCCCACGGATACAGGTAGCGCTTACCCGGGAGCCAGTCCAGCCCAGCAGGGCAAAGGCATATTGCTCGTAGGGGCACATGACCAGGTCCACACGGATGGCCTTCCAGGTCTTTGCTTCCTGTTGGATGGACTTGTCACTGTCCACTCTCTGATGGTGCAACTTTAAAATCAGAAAGCATTTTTGAAAATGATCTAAAGCATCCACTTGCCTGCTTGGCACCTTGAACTTTTCAAATGTCGACTCCACAAGGTCACAGTATAAAAGTAATCCCTGAAAATAAACAGAAAGACATCAGGAAGAGTCCCTGATGCAGAGGGTCGGAGATTTTATATTGGGCTCTTAATGAACGCTCTTAAAGAAAGCTTTGCAGATTTAAGCAAAACATGGGTGCGTTTTGTCCGTGCGTTGTGAGCCCACCTGGCGACACTAGCAGAGGGAGCCATGGAGTGGGTGTGTTACACTCCCTCTGCAGCAGAGGAATTTAGCGATTAGAGGGGCCAAGCCAAGGCCACTTCATGGCAAAGCTGCCAGAGAATCTACTCCCGCAAGGTCTGACGGCTGACCAGTGTTCACAAACTTGCCGCATTCCCTTAAGTACAAACCAACTTTGAACAAAAAGCCGTGCCGTTTCTATGCGGTTGTTCAGATTTAGTGTCCCTCCATAAAATACTGATGACTAGGTCTACTTGGCCCCAAAGGTTGTGGCTGAGGCTCAGCCGCGTTGGGGCCTGATGACTCACTCTTTCTAGGGAGCATTTTGAGATTGTTACTCTGCCTGCCTTGGAGACTCAGACAAAATTGGTGGCACGTCACCAAACGTCGCCTAGTCAGAAAGTTACGCCCAGCAAGCTGCCATCCTCCAATTTATCTGCTCCGTGGGACTTCCTCACGGCACAGGGCAGATGTGGGGTAGGGAAAGGCAGAACTATGCAACTAACTCCTGAATCTGAGTAGCAACTAGAAGAGCAAATAACCTGAAAATAATCTAGTCAAAGCTATTAGGGTGTATGATTTGTTCTCGGATTCTTTAGGTCAGACATTCTCAAATATTATCATCAGACACATTTGGAAGGTTTGTTAAAGCACAGTTTGGGAGGTCCTGTCCCCGGAGTGATTCGTGCTGGGGCAGGGCCGGGGGGAGATGAATTTGCATTTCTAATAAGTTCCCAGGTGGTGCTGATGCTTCTGATCTAGGGACCACAGTTGGAGCATCACTAGTCCCATTTGCTATTGTTATTAGAAGCACTTGGCATTTCCTGTGCAATCCACCCCCACCCCCAAGAGACATTGTTTCAATTCAACTCAACACTTTGAGGAGGGGATGCTTTTCCTTTTGCTGATCTCAGAAGAGGGAACACTTGGCCCTTCAGTTCCTCTCCCAGAAAAGGCATGAGGAAGAACCGGTGCCGTCTGAAGCAAGCTGGGGTGGGGAGTGGGGGATTGTGGGGGGAGCGCTGATGTCAGGAAGAGCCTCTGGTGCAGCAGGCAGGTGTTGCCCTAGGCAAATCTAACAACCAACTCCGGGAAGACACAATTCTGCTTTTTAAGGAAACTTACTAAGATTAGTCAATATCACAACTTTTCATGTCAATTTGAATTATGTAAATCTGAAAAGCGAGCTATTAAAATATCAAAACAGTCTTACTTTGAAGCCAAGTTTGTAACTTCCCTCCCCCCTTTAAAAAAATTCACAAAGCTGGCTTCCTAAAAGCTGTAAACTGTGTTTGCACTATTGCCACGTGCCACTTTGGCTGGTCATAGACACACGGGCCACCCACCAGGCAGGAACCCAAACTACACCCAGCCAGCCCTCCCCTCTTTGGGGTGAATTGCTGGTGGCCAGTGGAGTCTTCTGGATGGCACCCTCCCCCCAAGATCAGTATTTCCTAGCTCTTTTCCTCCCTTTCTCCCACGGAGAGGTCTTCTACAAGGACCACATGTAGAATCATCTGATAGGCAACTGAAAACCATACCCATTGGCTGTTCATTCTTTCTGCAGGTGTTTTAAAACATCGTATGTGTATACGCATGTGTCGTGTAAGCATGTGCTTGAGTGTGCCTGCATGAGATAGTCATTTTAATCTGGAAAGTGCAGATTTTGGTAAGAAAGGCAGGGGTGGGGAGTGAGGTAGAGGTGGAAGTTAACCATGATTCACAACCGAGGTGTTGGGGGCAGGCGTGGAGCTGCAGGGGTGTGGACAGAGTTGGTGCCTGATTGTCAGCAAGGGAAGGGGAACAGCTGCTCGCGTTCTCCCCTGGGCCCCCTCGCCCGGCACAGTGCCTGGCTCTCCGGCAGAGTTCAGTATACAGTTGTGCAGGAGAGATCATGACTACAGCCACTGTTTAATAGGCATTTATCAAGCCCTGCACTAATTCTCTCAGTTAATCCTCCCATTAACAAATGAGAGAGGCTTGCTATCCCTGTTTCACAGATGAGGAAAGAGAAGCTAGGAGAGAGTCTCAGCTCCTACAGCCAGTACATGGCAGGGTTGTGCTTTTAAAATCCTAAATCTAAAACCCACGTGCTTAACCTCTGCATCCACCAGTGTCTGCCCATCTCTTTGCTTGGGGACCAGCAGTATGGCTGCCTGGCGGCCGAAGACAGACCAACGAAAATGAGGCTTCTTGTCCCCATCTCCCAACCCCATCCCATGTCGTGCTGGGACAGTCTCAGAGCGTGGGGAGGGTGGTGACTGTATACCAAGGTCAAATAGGTCCACCCTTGCCAGAGCCCCTGATGGGGGTCCAGGCAGCCCTGTCTCCACCCAGGCCGTGGCTGGCAGAGCCCCTCAGGGTGCTGTCTGTCCATGAGAATCTTTCAGCTTTCCTGCTCGAGTGGAGAAGTAGGGCCAGCCTAGGTTCGGCTGACTCTTTCTCGTCCTGCATTCCCCTGGCTCAGCCTATGATGCTCACGCTCAGAGCTCCTGGCTGTCTGGATCCCCGCTCCTGAGAGAGAGAGGGGCCTCGTGGGTGAATTTGGATCTGGTTCCAAAGTTGGGTCTTCAATTCTAGTACTCCTGGCACCAGAGTCGTGTGTTTCTTAGACTAACTGTATCTGAGGTCTTCTTTCTCCTGTGTGTCAGGGAGATTTGTCCACACCCGGAAGATGCTAAATCACTCAGGAAAAATGAAGCTGTGCTGGAAAAACACCAGCCCCAGCCTCCTCAAGCCATCCAGGCCTACGGGTTCCTAGGGAAGGGCCCTCTGTCTCCTCAGCACTCTCACTGGGGTTGCGCAGGAGTCAGGGCCCTGCAGGCGGCTCTGGCCACAGGGTCATCCTTAGTTCCCTCCACTGGGCAATATGCGGCCCGGGGCAAATCTGATCTCAGTGGGTGGGGGCTCCTGAGCCATGACCCCTGCTGGGCCCAGCTTGCCCTCATTAGCTCACTTCTTCCCATCTCAGCACAAAGTCAAGGTGGTTATTGACCAGCATAGAGTTCAAGGCAGCCCCAACACCTCTTGGGCTGATTTTATCCTAGTATTAGCCCCACCCCTAAGCTTGCTCTACCCTGGTTCACACCTCCCAGGTCTTCTCAGCACACGCTGTTCATTTTGTTTAGGGCTCTGATGCCTCCGCACATCCAGCACAGAGACAAGCCGCCCTCGGCCCCTTTGGTAATAGGACGAGTGCGTATACACAAGCTCACAACCCGGACTCTAGGACCCAAAGCAGGTAAGTCTCACTGCATGTCACTGGCACTGTGTAAGCTGTTGCAAACCACTGAGACTCAGTTAGATGATCATTACACATTTACAAGGTCAATAGTGTGCCAAATTCAACGGTATTAATGCAATTCTTGAGTGTCCAAACATCCACTTATGATCTTTCTTCTTACCTTTCTTTCCCATAAGTTTATCACTTTCGGCAAAAGTTGTTGCTCTTCATCCTCTGTTGATCCTGGGCTGGTAATTAAAAAATCTACATCATGCCCAGTCTTCTTACGCCTGATTTTAAAAATTGTATAAAATTGAGATGAATTAGATTTTTAGCTCTCAATTTAAAAAAGCCACCTGTGTTTCTATGCCCCATGCTTAAGGTTTGCAACACAAAATGCTCGTGATGTATCTTTTAAACAAAAGATCCTTGGTTACACAACTCTCCTCCTTGCAAAATAAATTTATGACACAGAAAAATTAAAAAATCACATACGGTACGTATATGATTATGTACATGTGGGTAAAAATGGCAAAGATTATTTCTTCTCCACACCCACACGTGCACACACTCCCACACACCAGAGACAAGCTGGACAACAAGCAAACCAAGAATTATATTCACGTAACATGAGATAGGGTTCTTGCAATTATGACATAGACTAAGGGCATTTTCTTGGATTTGATCTTGTCTTCCCACTTTCTCCATCACCTCCACAGCCAACAGCCACCATGTAAGAGGACCACGGGGAGAGATGGAGAAGGGTGTGGGAGGGAAGGAGTCTCTTTCTGAAACGGGCTTCAATATCCAAAAATTGCACACATCTCTGTGAAGAGTTTATTTATTCACTCATTGACACAACCAATATTTCTCGAGTGCCTACTGTGTGCCAGGCACCATGCACTGGCTCTCACTGAGCACTAAGCTCCCGAACCTTAGTGGGGAAACACGCATACAAACAATACAAACAATTACTTGACAGCTGTCCAGGGAGAACCGAGGAGGGGTGCCTCGCCCAGCATGGGGAGGAGGGAGTCAAGGAAGGCTTTCTGGGGGAGGTGGCACCTGAATTGAAGCTTAAAGGATGAGGAGAAGTGAGCCAGCTGATGAGTTGAGGGAAACAAGCCCAAGCAGAAAGGTGGGACAGAGCAAAGTCACAGAGGCGAGAAAGAGCTCCATGTGTGCTGAGAATGACAAGCCACTTGGGGTTGCTGGAGTGAAACATGAGGTGCAGGAGTTGAGACTGCAGAGAGAAGCTGGCGCCAGACCCCCGAAGGCATTTTGTGCCAAAACTCCTGAGCATGGGGAGCCACTGAAGGTGTTAGAGCAGGGGAGGTAAAAGCAGCCGTCATCATTATTTACCTCCGGAATCCTCCCGTCATGGTGACGAAGGCATCAGGCATAAATGCCCAGACGGCCTCTTTAACCAGCACACCGACTGCCTCTGCTTCGGCCCTGGTCACACAGCTGACAAGGTCTTCATAATAGAGGAATCCTGAGAGGCCATTGGACAAGTCAATGGAGAAAGGAACATGTCTCGTGTGAAATGACCAGCCCTCAGTGAGAGGGGATTCGTCCCCACATAGAGCTAACGTGGCCACAGACATCAACGCCAAACTGTTCCACAGAGACCGAGTGATCTGCGTTCTCTTGGTTGTGAATTTTTCATGTTAACAATGGCTCTTTGCTTTCTGACTGAGAGACTTACAGTTTCCTGACTAAGGAAGAGGCAATATTTCATATCCTAGAACCAAGCTGTTCAAATCTGACTTCCTATTGAAGAACCAGCCCTCCTGATCAATAAGCTGTGCCCTATCATTTTAAAAAGCTAATGCATAAAGATTAGGGGTGGGAAGATTTGGGGTTGCACGGTTATAGATGAATTATAGAATTGAAGTCAAGAATAGGAAGGCGGGGGGCTTCCCTGGTGGCGCAGTGGTTAAGAATCTACCTGCCAATGCAGGGACACGGGTTTGAGCCCTGGTCCTGGAAGATCGCACATGCTGCGAAGCAACTAAGCCCGAGTGCCACAACTACTGAACCTGCGCTCTAGAACCCGCGAGACACAACTACTGAGCCCACGTGCCACAACTACTGAAGCCCGCGTGCCTAGAGCCCGTGCTCCGCAACAAGAGAAGCCACCGCAATGAGAAGCCCGTGCAATGCAACGAAGAGTAGCCCCAACTCGCCACAACTAGAGAAAAGCCTGTGTGCAGCAACAAAGACCCAACGCAGCCAAAATTAAATAAATAAGTAAATTTATTTAAAAAAAAAAAGAAGAATAGGAAGAGGGTAGATTTGTCTCTGAGGAGAGTCAGAAAATGTCTCTGGTGATCTGGCTTATTGCTTCTTTGTCTGACCATCACGAATAAACGAAAGCTCAGACAGAGTGGTCATGACGAAGAGTTGTTCTAAGGACTTGGTTAACCCCACAGACCCACAGAGGGAGGCGTGGCGCAGAGGAGTAAAGGAGATGGAAGCTTTATCTCCAAGAATTGGGATGAAGCGGAGGAGGGGAGGGGAGCAGGGTGCAGGAGAGATCCATAGAGTCTGAGGGCCATCTAGTTATCCTTCCATACAAGGCACTGCTCTCTTCCCTAGGATCCACAAGAGGGAGGCATTCCAACTCTGCCTGAATCTTTCTAATAATGGGAGGCTTTGATACCTCCAGAAGCTGCCCATTTCCTAGTTGTAAGGTCTTTTGAGGGCAGTTCTTTCTCTTTTTTTCCCAGCTTTATTGAGGTATAATTGACAAAAATTGTATAAATTTAAGGTGCACAACACAAGGTTTTGATATATGTACACGTTGGGAAATGGTTACCACAATCGAGCTAATTAGCATACAATGGAATATTATTCAGTCTTAAAAAAAGAAGGCAGTCTTGTCATTCACAACAATGTGGATGAACTGGGGGCATTATGCTAAGTGAAATAAATCAGACACAGAAAGACAGGTATTGCATGATGTCACTTACATGTGGAATCTAAAAAACTCTCTTAGAAGCAGAGAGTAGAATAGCAGTTACTGGGGGCTGGAGGGTTGGGGCAGTGGAGAGATGTTTGTCAAAGGGCACAAAGTTTCAGATACGCGGGATGAATAAGTTCTGGAAATCTAGTGTACAGCATGGTGACTATAGTTAACAATACTCTGTGGTATACTTGAAATTTGCTAAGAAAGTAGATCCTACTTGTTCTCACCAAAAACAAAATGGGGGGGAGCATCAAAAGTTCTTTATTTTCATGAGCTTAAGTCTACCTCCTAGCAGTTTCACCCATCACTGCTCTCTGGAAAGATGTGGAGCCACCATGTTGGTCCTTCTCACCTCCAGGATCACGGGAGGGAGGAGGCAGGAAGCCATTTGGCTAGAACATCACGGTCACAAAATTCTCCAGTTCAAACTTCCCATGTTATCTCTAAATAAGGACAGTTGCAGAATCATATTGGCAGGACCAAGAGAAGATAACGTTCACACTAATACATCTATAAACTGTGCCCAATACCAAACCACACAGCTTGTGGAACACTATTGTTTTTTATATCAATCCTAAAACTCTCTCTCTCTTTTTTAAAAATAAAGTCACAAGCACAGAGAGATCAGCTAGGTGCTTTGTGACCACCTGGAGGGGTGGGATAGGGAGGCTGGGAGGGAGACGCAAGAGGGAGGGGATATGAGGATATATGTATATGTATGGCTGATTCACTTTGTTGTAAACCAGAAACTAACACACCATTGTAAAGCAATTATACTCCAATAAAGATGCTAAAAAAATAATAAATAGAATAAAGCCACATTTTTATTGCAATATGGCCATTTTTGTGTGTGGAGCATTTGATTTAAAAAACAATGCTTTCAGGGGGTTGCTGTGCAACGGGTACAAAGTTTCAGCAGAGATCTGCTGTGCATCATTGTGCCTGCCACACAATACTCCATTAACAGTACTCTATTGCACACTCAAAAATTCATTAGTAAATGTGATGTGGATCATAGACTTCAATGCAAAAGTTAAAAAGAATCAGGCTTCTGAAGGTAAACAGGAAAATATCTTTATGGTGTTGAGGGTAAGCAAATATCTCTGAAACAGAGCAGGGGCGCAGGGGCACTAACTATAATGAAAAGATTGATAATTTGGATTTCATTGAATATAAGAACATATATTCATCGAAGGACATTGTCAAGCAATGAAGACACACGCTACCAACTGGGAGAAGATATTTGCATTTTATGTATCTGACACAGTGCTGGTGGGGTGTCTGCTAGAGCTAAATCAATACCTATTCAGCCTCTGACCCAGCAATTTCCCTCCTAGGTGTATGCACAAGAGAAACGAGAACATATATCCCCAGGTACAAGAATGTTCATAGCCAAAAGCTGGAAATAATTCTAATGTCCATCAACAGGAAATGGGTAAATAAATTATGATACCAATGGAAGAAAAATTGCCAAGAGGGTAGATCTCATGTTGTGTTCTTACCATATTTTAAAAAATCAATTTAATAAAATTAAACAAATAATGTATAAATGTGAAAAAAATGAACAACAATGCTCCATTTGGCTCTTTTTTGATACAAAAATTTCATCATGGCTGATATTCACAGTACAACTCATTTGGTAACCATAAAACTCCTGTGATTATTCAGGATGTACCTAAACCAAAAGTCATGATTAACAGCAATTTCTTTAAGGGCATATGCAGGTATCAGGAACGAACATGGAGATAGTTTAATAATTTGTTGACACCCATGAAAGCAACTTAATTGGCTTTCCTTTTGGGTATGGTAGGGAGGTGAACTTATTACAAGAAACTTATTACCCTGTACAGTGTTACATGTGTGCTGTTATATTTCAGAAACCAATGTGGCATGTGAATCCTCAAGCCTCAGGGAATTAAAACCAAGTATGATTATAAGTAAAACTGAATCAGGGTTTCACCCCTGGATCGTACTTTCAACATGTTCAGTTAGCTTACCCTTGGCAAAATGCTAAACTATTCCCATTGACAAGTCCATTCATTGTAGCGCTGCTACAAGGGACACATAAAGCCTGGGTTTTTCAGCTATAAGTATGATAGGAAGGCATTCCTCGAGTTCTACATAAAACAAAAGCATTAGATAGTCAGATGGCCATCACTGATGGATTGAGAGAATAATAGCTGCTTCATTCATCTGTCTGGAAGAGCCCAAATAGGAAGAGAAAAATCCAGTTTACAAAGCTGGGGAATTGGGGGCTACTTGGATCCCAAGAGCATTCGGTGTCAGTTGATAAAGGTTTTCATCTAAGGGAAATACGGCATTGCCTCCCATTTTCTCTCTATGTGTTGACAGCCCTTACTGTCATTCTGAGCCATGTTTAATACTTACGTATATTTTAATACTTATGTATATATTTCTATGGCAACTCTAGAGCTGGTGTACATCACGCTTATTAAGTGTGCACTTTCAGAAGCCCAGAATATGAATATGGGTCTTTTTTTTCCTTAGGCTCTTTTAGTTCCTATGTGGCATCTTATAAACCTTATTAGCAATTTTTCGGAGGCTAGCAACTTAATGAAGTTGGGGAATTCTATGGTAGTGTTGATGTGAACCACCAAGAATTGATTTCTTCCTCTCCTCTTGCTTGTTTCTTTTCATCACTTAAACAGAAAATAGCTGTTTTCTCTTTTCTTTTCTTTCTGGTCTCCTCTTGTAGAAGATTCCCTTACTTTCATATGATTAAAAATGTTGATGGCGTCCTCATTCTTTGTAACTCAGAAGGCATAGTGCTCAGAACTGTGGCTGTGACTTCCTTTCAAATCCCAGTTATATTGTATTTCTATTGCATATTAAAAATAAACATTTAAATCATACAATTTTTGACCCTGTTTTTTGACATTCCTTGATTGAAAAAAATATACCAGGACCCTTCATAAATAGAAGTGATCAAGCCATCTTCAACCTCCGTGAGGCCCTGCCAGGCTTTCAGATGCCTGTCTCTACACTCTTCTGGGTTAAGGAGTCCTGGTTGGGTAGATAAACCCCTGTCTAGATTTCCACCATTTCCCTTCTATGTCCTGGTGTCTTACAGTTTCTAAAGCAGATCCGTATTTGTACCAAGCAACAGCTCTAGTTCGTTCAAATATTCTTTACTCCCCAACCCTCCAGGTCAAGGTTCTGTCTTGGATTCCTCCCCCATACCTCTTACCCAGCCAGGACCCAAATATCTGGAAGGGTCAGTTCAGTAAGAACTAGATCAATGGTGCAACCAGGTTTGACAGCGGGATAAAGGAATGACAACAGCCCTCATGCAGGGTATATTTGCTCTGTGCCAGGCTAAGCGCTTTGCCTGCAAGATCTGATCTGTTCCCCACTTACGTACTGATGTTACCTCCCTTTTATAGATGAGGTAACTAAGGCTCAAAGATTTTAACTAACTTTCTCAAGATGACACGACTGGAGAGTGCCAGAGCCAGGATTTGGATCCAGGTCTGTCTGATTCCAAAAGCTTGGGCTTTTAGCCATAGCATGAAAAGAGGCCAAACAAGAGACCAGCTCACCAAGACTGGAGTTGACGTATGAAGTACAGCAGACAGATCCCTACCACAGCCTGACCAGCCCATGTGGCAAAAACATGAGATTTTTTTAGGAGAGACAATTCACCTGCTTTCTGCATTCTTGTGAATTTCAAGGTTTTGTCCGACCTTATTTTACTCAGAGATCTGAACCCCATCCTGAACCATTTCTCAGATGTCTTCAATCCCACTCCAAATACAGAAGTAAAGAGCTGAAACAAAGGGAAAGGCATGCCTTTAGTTTCTAAAACAAACATTATGTCAATGAAATGATACTTTTCAAGGTCAAGCGATTAAGAAAAGGTGTAAACAAATCTCTGACCTAGTTCCTCCTGAATATGACAAGCAGGTGGGCAATGGTAATTTTTCAGAGGCATTTCTATTTCAGGAGGGTCCCTTCCTGACATATGTTATTACTAAATGAAGCAGAAGGGAGGAGCCAGTCTCTGGCACTGCCGAGGGCTTCCAGATATCCAATAAGGATTGCCTGCACTGTCAATGCGTGACAACAGGGATCTGTACCCAGCCCTTTGCCAAGAGTGTCTTACACACACTGATGCATATTCACCCTCACAATTTAAAGAGGGATGCACGTGTAGGTTGCATAAATTCTCCACCATCACACAACTGGTAAGTGTCAGAGCCCAGACTCAACCCAGTCTTTCCGCCCTCTAAGCCTGGCCTTCTGCCCTCGACCACAGTTTAGCCTGAGCATCACTTCTGAACCCAAGGGATTGGTAGGTGGAAGTCTCTGTCCCCTGCAACTCCAAAGTAGGGAACACTGGGAGGTAACAAACCCTGCTTCAAAGTAGACAAGGATTCAGTGAGGAGCAGGTTTCTTAAAGAACAGGTTTGTTCTTTAAGAGTAGGTAGGTTTGTTTTGTCTCACAGTCTTAGTGTACCCAGGAGTGACAGACTCTTGGGAGGTAAGGTCATTTGTATCTCACCATAGCATGGCAATAAGCTCGAGCACCCATATTTATTTAGGCATCTCCTTCCTAGACCACTGCTATGGACTGAATTGTGCCCCCTCCTCCCAAATTCATATGTTGAAATCTTAACCTCCAGTGTGATGGTATCTGGAGATGGGGCTTTTGGGAGATAATTAGGTTTAGATGAGGTCATGAGGTGGGTCCTCACGATAGGATTAGTGCCTTTATAAGAAGAGACACCAGAGAGTTTGCTCTCTCTCTGTGTCACGCAAGGACACATTGAGAAGGAGGCCGTCTGCAAACCAAGAAGAGAGTCCTAACCAGACCCCAACCATGCTGGCACCCCAATCTCAGATTTCCAGGCTCTAACTGTGAGAAAATAAATATTTGTTGTTTAAGTCACTCGGTCTGCGACATTTTGTTATGGTACCCCAAGCTGACTAATACAACCACTTAGAATAAGTAATAGGATTAACTGAAAAACCATTTTTGATAAATACATATAAAAATCACGTACTTTGAAGGACTGATATCGTTCATCGTTTAACACAGCTTTAACTTCAGAACTTTCTCCATCTTCAATAATTTCCTGCACGAACAGTTGAAAAATATATTACATTAGTGATGTTAACTGCAGTCTAAGATTTTCAAATCCCCAGATCTAGTAGCTTAATTTTTCATGAAATACACCTGTTGTATACAGGATATTTCCTTAGCTGATCTGGAGAAAACAAGACATTTCCTGCTTGAAAAATCTCAGGTTATTATATTTCCAAGGACCCCTTTACAATCCTCAAGGAGGAAGGTACAGAATGATTAGGGTCCAAATCTATAGAACACCAAACCAAAAGATTCACTGAAAAAGGTGTGTCTAAATATTTGAGATAGTTTTCTTTTCAATTAATATAAACTAGCTGAAACAAGAGGACTTTTCATCTGAGCCGGTTAATCTTGGACCCACTGAAAAGCTAATCCGGGTTCAAGCCCTTATGATGTCTAGCTCAGAGCCACCCAACATCCTCTAAATAGAGCTGGGATTATTTCCCTTGAATAATTTACCTCGAGCTTGACTATATTGAAACTTACTCTTGGATGACCAATTTGCCTTGCCAGGGAATCCTTAAACATCATTAAATAAATAACTACCCATCCCTGGCTCTCTTCTTAGAATATACAGGTAGAGATACAGAATCAGCTCCACGGCCCATCACACCCACCACCATTCTGGAGGGCAATGTCCCCTGAGTGGAAGTGAGGTTCTTCACACAGCCTGTGTTTGAAGTCATAGCATCCTCTCCCATTGAGCTTTCAGGTCACTAGAGTCTTTCACTGTGATTAATGATACGGGAGAGTTATTTTCCCACTAGCTGACCCCACATAGCTCCAGGAGAGAAAATATTGGAGTATGAATTACACATATATATATGTGTATCTATGTAATATATATGTTATATAATATATATATATATCTATATAATCTATATTAGAGAAAAAGGAAAATAAGTCACGAATACCACATCTATATAGTTAACAGGAAAATCCATTAACTGCATCTCTCTCTCTCCCTCCCTCCCTCCCTCCCTACCTATCAGGGGTTGGGACGAATCACCTTTCACCCTTACCTCTATGACACACTTCACTCTGTCCCCCAGGCAGGGAATTCCTTCTGTGTCCCTCATACTGATGATTGTGAATGGCAGAGATTTAAGTACAGAAGCTGCTCTCGTAAATTCCAGACAAGAGAATTCATTTTCTTTAAACTCATAATTTTCAGCCAATACCTCAAAGGCATCCTGAAGAATAAAACCAGATGAGCAAAACACAGTCTGTTTCCTGGCCCCTAGCCCGCGAGCCAGCAGCCACTTGCAAACGCCTCTTGCTCTCTGTCAAGTATTAGAACACCTCGTGACTATTTCCTCAAAGATCAGGATTGGGTGTGCTGTGCTTTTGCACCCGTCCCTTGGTGGATGAGCGGAATTGAGTTGAAAAGACAGGCCACAGAGTGCTTTGTAAGGAAACTTTGAGTTCTCTGCCATTAGATATTCAGGAGTGATATAACTATAAAATGATACTGTGCTCATTGCATCTTCCTAGTTGTTACTTGGCATGATCCTTCCCTCTTTGCTGACTTTCCCACCAGCCTGTGGCCAGGATTCTGTCTTGATCACTGGGAAGCCCCATCTCTTATCTCATACGTGAAATATAGTCAGCACTTAGCATAGGCTTGTTGAATGAATGGGTATAATCATAAGTGGCGCAAACCCACAGGCAGGGTTATTTAAGGTAGGGGGTTATTTAAGGTAGGGCACGTTTGCATTTCTGGCAGAGGAGGAAACAGCTGCAGCTGTGCGGCATGATGCTCAGTGTGCCCAGTAGCTGCAATTTCCTGGTGCTCCTTGCACACGTGGGGCTAGAAGACTAGAAAGGAGAAGTTTTGTATTTGATATACTAATGCATGTTTTATCTATATGACTACTGACTCTAGGCTGGAGGACAAGCAGTTATAGGCTTGTTCGGGTCATTTGAAACATAATTATTGAATTTCAGGGCTGAATTTAGAGATGATCTATAGGTAATTCCTTTTTGAGCAGATGAAGAAACTGAGGCTCAGAGAGAGGAATTGACTTGCCCCAGCTAGTTAATATCAGAGAGGCTGAATCCAGGTCTGCTGACTCTCAATCCTCTGGCTTCCCAGCAAAGCTATTTATGCACAATTGCTATTTCTATGTAATTTGCTCTTACTATGTAATGGACTAATTACAGTACATATTTGTTTTATCAGAATATTTGCCTTTGATAACTGTTGCGTCCATTAATGACAACTCCTGATAAATAGTAACCTACCGTCTCTAAAGAATGTGCTCCGAATATATTTGTCTATTTCCATGACAAAAGGAGACCCATTCTTGACAGAAAGAGGAACCAGAGATCAGGTTAGAGGAGTGGGTAAGGGTGTGAAAAACATTCCTAGATTTTCAGGAATATTCCTAACTTAATTTGGAGATTCATGGAAAGAAGCAGAAAGCCCTGCGTTTGCTCTAGGTGTTGTTGTAAATCTCCATTACCGTGAATATGTGGTTCCAGTTGTTTAAAGTGGTTCTTCTCTGACACGCGTACTGAGAGATCTTTTTTACAGCAAGTGGTGGAGTCTTCTGGAAGCCCGGGTTGGGAGTAGCTGAATAGTCTGTTCTCACCTAAACAAATGCATCAGCATCCATTTTAAATAACAATTAATAGTGGTGATAATAATAGATGTGTGTGAAGAAAAAGGCAGTTTGATGGCAACTGTCTCTGTAAAGAGAATAAAATCATAGGAGGCTCAAATTTTATGTTATATGCATCTCTAATATTTGAATTTGCTACAATTAACATGTATTATTTTTGCAATCTGAAAAAATAACATGAAAAAAACTACCAATTAAATATCATTTTTCTTTTCTGTGAACTTATGTAGTTATGGTCCGTTGGTGATGGGTGTGGAATTAAGAGCTTAACTTTATTTTTTTCTTTATGAATGATCACAGTAAGAAAAAAAATAAGAACCTTCTACTTTTCTGACTGCTAGACATCAAGACTTCAATATTTTGAAATATTTGTGTATAGACTTGTTTGTAAAAATAGCTACCATTTATTAAGTGCATATATAAATCAGGCTCTGTCTTAAGCACTTTACATGTGTGTTATTCTAATCCTCATAACCATCTTACAAGATAGGCAGGCACTATTGTTCTCATAATGTAGTGGAAGAAACTGAAGCTCAGAAAAGCTAAGTGACTTGTCCAAGTTCACACAGGGAGTAAGCAGAGAACCTGGGGTTTAACTCAGGTCTGTTGGTTCTACAGCCCATGTTCTTAATCATCAAGCAAAAGGCAATGAAAATCACATTCGTGACACTTACAACAAGCTGGTGTTTTCCTGTAATCTCCACCGGTTTTCCTGCTCCCATACTTTCTATCAGCCAGGAGACGTCGAGGAGTTCTAGCTGTGAGCTGGCTCTTATGTTCTGTACCTGAAGCCAGTCAAGAACCTCTGAACCAGAGTTGTTTTCTGCCACAATGTGGGTGACAGAATCACTGCAGAATGCAAGACAAAGTTACCAGCTGAAGGGACTTTTGAAATGAGAAGCTCTCCTCTTTCCCTGAGGCGTTTCAGAGCATTCCATCTGATGGAGAAAGATGCACAGTAGACCTGACCATAGGCACAGAGAACCTAGAACTCCATGCAAGGGAATTCTACTTAAATTAGTGTAACAACAGTGGTCTATGTTACATATCAGATGCAAGAAAAATTAAGAAAACATTAGTAAGATTGTGGTGTCAATGGAAAACCAAGGTCCAGAGAGGATGGAGGATAAAACCGTTCTTAAATTAGCACCTTGCACTCTGCTTGTGGCTTTGATGTGCCACTTCGTTTTTATTTGTAGAAGGCTTTAACCCAGTGCCTTTCAAACTTATTTGTGACCCACAGTTAGAAACACATTTTATATCATCACCCAAAATATAGATGTAGATGTCGATATGCTTATAACATCCCACTAAATTGATCTCACAACCCATTAATAGGAGGTGACCAGCCTTTGAGAAATATTGTTTTACATGTTTTGTGGGGTTTTTTTTGCGGTACACGGGCCTCTCACTGTTGTGGCCTCTCCCGTTGCGGAGCACAGGCTCCGGACGCGCAGGGTCAGTGGCCACGGCTCACGGGCCCAGCCGCTCCGCGGCATGTAGGGATCTTCCCGGACCGGGGCACGAACCCGTGTCCCCTGCATCGGCAGGCGGACTCTCAACCACTGCACCACCAGGGAAGCCCCTGTTTTACATGTTTTTCAAAGTACAACCCTGTGACGTAAGACCCTGTATCTTTTCCCTAGTAAGTACTGAGCACTTACAATGTTTCAGCACTGTCCAAGTACTTTACATACATTATCTGATTTAATACTCACATAGCTCCTCAAGTAAATGTCATACTAGTCACACTTCAAAAATGAGGAAACTGAAGAACAGAGAGGTTAAGAACATCCTGAAGGTCACACAGCTGGTAAATGATATTTATCATTTTTGACTGTCTTTTCTGGGTCAAGTATGTTATTTCTAGTTTTTAAGAAGTCTCCACAGTCAGCATTATATCATTGGAACTAATAATTTTTAAGGCTCCTTCAGTTCAAGTAGTCTATGAATCTGGGAAATAACAAGAGCAAATAGTGTACTTAGGCATCTAAGAGAAAAAAATCAATTTTCTCTTCTTTTTCCCACTTCTCTTGCTTGACTTCTTCTTTCTCCTTCTCCTTTTCTTGACTGACTCTTGGATTCATTGGGTATTTTTTGGTTCACTGTTATATGCACAGCCCTAGGTTTCTTGTGGTGGTGATGGGTACCGAAGAAGAAAAGAGAAGTCTCTGGGCATCAGTATCTTATGTTAACAGTATGTTATGATAAGACACAAGATATGGACAGGATCTGCAGATGGTACACAGAGAGGGAAAAGAATTTGGTGTGGGCTGGGAGAGGTGGATGGCTTTGTGGAAAAGCAGGATTTGTGCCCTGTCTGGGTGGATGTGAGGGATAAGGTACCTGGTAGGCAGAACTTTTGGTCGTCCTGGAAGAAAAGGTTCAGAGGAAAGGAAGGAGAATGGCCTGTACTGGAGTGAAGAATTCATGTTGGGAAGTAGCTGTAGATGTGGCTGAGTACCACATTACAGAGGGTCTTGGAAGCCTGGCTGAAGAAGTTAGATCTTGTTTTCTGGGATTATGGAGCCACTGAAGGCTTTTGTGAGCAGGACATGGATAGCGTTGTCATGTTATTTTAAAAGACTAATCTGTTACACACAATGATTTGGAAGGGGGAGTCATGGGTTGGGGAAAGGTGGGGAGCTACTTAGGAAGATGAATCACTGGACCAGATATAAGATGACTTAAACCCCACTCTGGTTCCTATAGCTCTAGAAAGGAAGGCAAAGAAGACATATGATGGACAGCTGGCATCGCCTATGAAAGATGGTGTGGAGAATAGACTCAGATATGACTCCAGCATATCTATCACACTCAAGTATTATCACTTTTGGTAGAAATAGGGATTTAGGAAGTTGCATCTGTTTGGGGGAAGGGGTGGGGGAGTGGAATTGAAGTTTATTTCAGGCATGCTGCATTGGAAGGATGGCTGGAGATCCAAATGAAAATAGCTGGCTGACAGTTGGGATCTGAGGCTGGCACTGGGAGAGAGGTGAGGGCTGGAGATCAGAGCTGAGACCATCTGGATGGCAGGATGTGCAGCAGGCCCAGGCAGAAATAAGTCAGGGTAAAACAACCTTTTACAGGGGATGAGGGAAGACGGCTAGCTGCTTCCCTATTCCAGATCCATACAATTCCAAAGATTATTTATGGTAAACTTCTTGAAAGATTGTTTATGTCAAGACTTGAACAACAAAAGAATTAACAGGGCTACATAGTAATTATTATTCCTTCTATATTTCTGCCCTTTGAAGGGAAATTTTACTATTACATTATTTATTATACTATTTATTCTTATTATTATAAATAGGGTTTTGTCTGAACCTCAAAGGGAGCAGGGTGTGCTGAGGAGGCGCTCTGGGGCTCAGTGTCCAAATTTAGACCCCCACCATCCACTCTTGTACCACCATCCCCCAGTGGGGATATGTGAGCTCACCCTATTGGATGAGGACCACGTTCATCTCTTACTGAATTCATATAAGCGTATTTGTGAATATAGGCTATACATCATATGAAGGAAGACTCTGATTTAGACTTCCAACCCCTGCTCATTAAGCAACTAGCAAACAAAACAAAACAACAACGACAGCAATAAAGCACATACAAAAACAAAAAATCAAACATTCACATTGTGCTATTCAGAGTTCAGTACTGTTTGTCACTCGTTCCCACAAAGGAAGAGCTCGAAAGTCAGCATTAGGAACTTTGACATCACCACAGTACAGTCACATCTCAGAGATATTGCAGGTTCGGCGCCAGACCACCACAATAAAGCGTTTGTTCACTTTCTGTTCTGAGCCCTTAGCGGATAGTATTACCAAGAAGGGTCACCCCCTCTAGAGTGTTCTGCTGCCAGTGTCTTACTGCTGTGTTGTGGCAGCCCTTTGCTGATACAGTGGTTTCCTCTCCGCCCTGAAGACTCCAGTATTGAAAAGACTAATAATATTTGAATATTACCATGTACCAGAACCATGGTAGGCACATTTCATACGCTACCTCATTTAATTGTCAATAACACTATGAGGTAGGTATGATTATCCCCATCTAAAAATAAGAAAAGAGAGCTTTTGAGAGACATTGAAAATTCACCCAGCTAATAATTGGTGGAGCTGAAATTTGATCTGAGGTCTGTTTTAATCTAAAATCTGTGTACTGGGGGACTTCCCTGGTGGTCCAATGGTTAAGACCCCATGCTTCCACTGCATGGGGTGCTGGTTCGATCCTTGGTAGGGGAACTAAGATCTTGTGTGGCACAGCCAAAAAAATAAAATAGAATAAAACCTGTGTGCTAGACCACACTGAGCTGTCCCTCTGTGACTTTGTGCTTAATTCCATGGCTCTGGCGAGAGCTATTCCTTTTCTCAAAAGGAATACCATCAGGATGAGTATCACCACCACCACCACCACCATCATGATCACGATGAAGATTCTCTCCGAAGTGCAGAAATAGAGGTGGACTGACACTTCCTACATAACACTGTTAGACACTCTCTCCCTGCTGCTGCCACATAGGATTCATGTTTCGATGTTTTATGTCCAGTATAATATGGGCTACAATAAGGACTGTCCCAGAAAGTCTGAAAGAACAGTTGCTATGGCTACACACCAGGTTGGAGTAGTCACAGAGGGGCTGTCAGGCTCCCTGAGCTCTGGGTTTTGCCTAAACTTCGGAGGGAGATAGATGTGCTCAGGAGGAACCCCCGGGGCTCCTCTTCCAAATTCAGGTCCTTCACCATCCACACTTACCACCCCCTGTTCCTCCACACCATCTCTCAGCTAGGGTATCTCTGGACTCAGCCCTGCCTCTAACAGACATTCTGAATGCCTAGGGATGTGGGGGAAGGGTGCTGTAAAACAATCAACAAACAATTAAATACTGGTATACACGAGAGAAAAAGACTAGAGAGAAACATTCCAGACAATCAGCAAGAATAACAAAAACTACGCGCATGCACGCACACACACACGCACACACTCACACACACACACACACACACACACGGATATATTCTTACTCAATCTGCCCAAGAGTCTTATGAGGTGGGGAATAAAATTTCAAATGAGAAAACCAAGCCTACAGAGGTTACATGAAGCCCAGGTGTTCATGACTCGAGCGATCTCTTAACGTTCTGCTAGACTGTGGTTAGACCCCTGTGCGAGGTTTTGTTTGTTTTAAGCATTTTTCTATATTTTCCCATTTTCTGTCATGAACCATCTTTCATCACTTTTCCACTTAAAGGAATAAATACACATGCATGTCATTTTCAAGGGCAAATCAACCTGGGATTGGGGCTGAGATGGCTGTTTGGGGCTGGCCCCAAAGACCTGGGCTTTCTTCTTATGATACAAAGTGGCAGCGAGCCTCAGGCAGCCATCTTCAATCTCTTCTAAAGACCCCAAGGCAGTGCTGAGATGGCTGTTCCTGAAATATCAGTGGATTCCATTCTTTAACTGCATCCAGTTTCTTAGCCATGACCAATTAATAGTGCCTTGGAGTAGGTTTGGGAGGCTGTGAACCAATTACAGGAATCCTGAACTCGGATTTGTCCTTCAGCTTCCCACAGGGAAAACCATGCAGGGTCCTGTTCCTCAACTGGTGCTGAACTGAAATGTGCTTGACTTGATGCTTGGCATCGCTAAGGGCAGGGACAGTGTTATAATCTGCCTGATTATAATCTGCATGGTTATAATCATGCCTGGCGCCCAGCTCATGGCCAGATTCATAGCAATGGTCAATAGAGAGCCCACTAGTAGAATGAATTGATTAATCTATAGCTCTAAAGGAAAGTTTCTAAAATTCTAGTGTCTACTAGAGACACACAGGAAGGTGGACTAAAATTCAGATG